GGGAGGGGGAGGCCTCTCTCCTGTCTCCACTGGGATAAGGAAGGCTTAGCCCTGGCTTTTCAGGGTGGGGGGAGTGTCTCCCAGACAGCTTGTAGGGTTAGCTGAGGTAACCCCTGCTGCTGTGACCTCCTCTGGTGTTGCTTTGACTGCTAGCTGGGGAGGATTATGTCGGTATGGGAAAGTGCATTTTCCTCCTGCCCTGTAGGGAGTCTGATGAGGTGCAGTTGGGAGAGCAGTGACTAAGAGTCCCTGTCTCTGCAGCCTGAGTCATCCCGTGCTCCCTGGCTGACGTCTGGCCAAGCAAGGCGTGCAGGCAGAGAGGATGTGTCACCCTGCTCGCCTGGATCCTTGCCCAGGATTCTCTCTGGAGCTTCAGGAGTCAGCAGAGGAGCAGGGAGTGTGGGAAAGCAGCCACGGGAGGTCCAGGGAATGCGTTGAGCCTGCTGGGTGCAGAGTTAAGGCACAGCATCACCAGTGTCCTGCCTGGGTGCACAGTCCTCTTGGGATTGCTGGGGAGGTGGGATATGGTCAGTCCTGTGGAGGAGCTCTAACATTTTCTCTGTGGCATTCTGCTGGTTCTCCTGTGAAGAGTGTGGCACTTTGCTTCTCCACAGAGCCCCTTCTCTCTGTGAGTGTATGCTTGCTGCCTAAATTACCAAGGAACAGACATGGTTTGATTGGTTTTCATCCTCAACAGGACAGGGGTGTAGTGCTGCAAGCAGTGGAGTAAGGTTCAGTTTTCACTTCTAGAGAAAAGAAACCTCTCTTCTAAGAGGAAAGTCCTGAATTGTCTTAGACAAAGTCAAAGCAAGCCTATTAAACCCCAGGTCAGCATAACAAGTTTTAAAGAAAGTACTTAATGGGATGCAATTAATGAGTATCTCTGTCTTATTCTATTCTTGGCAGTGGGGCTTCTCTTACAGGCCAGTTCAAACTTGCTCAGGAGGACCTGGACCTAGTTGTAATTTACTGCTACAACCATTGTAAGTGACACTGCATGGGGTAACCATCTATAGTGTTAAACTGTGCTAATCAAATTGTATTTTTTAATGAAGAATTAAATCATTGGAAAGTGTGTGTTGTCCAGATCACATAAATAACTTTAAAAACCCTGCTCTCCATTCCCTAACTGCTCCTCTCCTATCCAGAATGGCCATACCAGGGACCTATCCTAATTCTCTGGCAACCTTTTGCAGTACAGAGAAAGGAGATTTCATTTCCAAGTTTAGGACAAGTGTTTTTATGTGGATCTGTTTCTTTTAGTGAGAAATTGAGGGGCTTTGTTTTTTCCAGCAAAGAACTGTTTTAGTTTTTTGAGGTTCCCCCATCCTGTCCCAAACTTCTTTGCACTGCAGAGTTGTTTTTTAATGTTTTGACAGGTCAAGATGGTGTGGAAAGGTAGAAGGTAAGCACATCTTCCTTGTGGACACAACCTTTATTAATTGCACTTGATGTAATAGGATACAAATGGAAAAATCTAATCTCAAGAAATTTCACAGTTAACTTTGGAGCCTTGGGGAAACTCTTCCACTGTGATGTTTAGAAGAAAAATCTAATTTCTTTCTGTGAGGTAGTAACTCTGATCCCAAGCAGCTCCTCCTGCAAGTGCTTCCTCTGGTCAGATCTAGACTGGCACTACTCAGTGGAGCATGGGATGACATGCTGTGATGGTTATTAATGATGATTATATTATTAATATGCATATTAATTATGATTATACAGTGCTTTTTCTTTTTTGTCAGTTGTAGCTTGGTGCCCCTCAGAGAAAATAACCTCAATATGATACCTCAGAAGGCTGCTAAGAAGACAAAAGCAGCCAGGGCTGCTTCAGCTCACTCAATATTTAAAAATGAAATGCACGTGTTCTTTATTTTGTATTAATACACTGTAATTGCTTTACAGAGTCCAGCATATCAGTTGCATGTAAATACTACAGATGAACTTGCCAAATTGGAGCTCACAAAACTAGTGCATTTATCCCAAAGCAGAGACTAAACCCTCTAACTCCTTAAAAAAATACATTAAAGAACGTACCACACACACACATATTGCACTTTTCTCCATATGAAATTTTTACCCCATATACATTACACCAAAGTCTCTTCAAAGGAGTCTGTAATACAAGATAATAAAGCTAATAATTACTCTAACAGTAGTGTACACAGTTCTCTAATGTTAGACATAACAGATTTGAACAAAAAAGCCACCTCAGAGGAGTACAAAGTGGTGCCCAGTGGATGCTCTGCCATATTAGAAGGCATCAGAAGCCTTTTATTCTAATTGGCTTAAAAAAAATGACATGAAATGTTAAATATGCTCTTGGTTGAGGGAAAAGTCAGTCTCAACTACATTAAAAAACACTGTAGCTTCCCTCCTTACCAGCACTGCAAAGCTCAAATGAGCTTAAATGAGTTGGCACATCTAAAGGAATCCCAGAAATCAAGTCTAGAATTGTTTGATCTTGGAGTCCTGAAGCGTTTGGTATCTTGGAGTTGGATGGGGAAGGAAGTGGCTATGGCAGTAAACCAGCTCCTGGAGCAGAACTGGGCCCAGCTCCAGAGGGGGGGTGTGTCCTGGGAGCAGTTTTCACTGCCCAGCTCTTCGAGTGCTTGGTTAGACATTAAAATTCCAGAAAGTGTTTGTTATCCCAGAATGCTGAGTTGGCTGGGACCTGAAGGGCCACCCAGTCCAACCCCTGCAGTGAGCAGGGACATCCCCAGCTGGGTCAGGCTGCTGTTATGCTGTGGGGTAGGCAAGAAGGAAGGAAAGGACAGGACCCTTGGTTGCCTTTCCTTTTTCTGCAGCAGTGAAGTGCCTGGTCTGTTGTGCTGCAGTATGGGTCAGGTTGTTTTCCTTCCCTTTGTAAGTCACTTAAGGTGTCATAGGGCTTTCTGTGTTCCATAGCTACTGACTGTGTCAGCCAAGTTCCCTTCTGAGGGGGAAACCACCCAAGAAAAACCTTTTCTATTTCAGGTATTTAAAGTAGAGCTTTCTAGCCCTCTGTATCTTGCATCACAGAAGTAGTGTATGGATGTGATCCCTGTTCTTGACACTCCCTTTGCTGCTGCCTTGAGAATCACTGTGGTATCAGAGGTAGAAGCTGAGCACTTGTGGGTTGAATCCAGCTGCACAACTGGATCAAGATCAGAGCAGGCTACATGGCAACCAGAGCTGTCTCTCCAGCTGCTAGCAAGGTGCCTTCTGTCAGTTGTTAACCCCTCCCCTCCTTCAGAGCCTACAATGCAGTGACTGAAGTCCTGCTGTGCCACATCCAAGTGTGGTCTTATTGCTGTAAGTGCTGGCTGATGATCCACCCTTCTAGACCCTCATTATCTGCAGTATCAAAGACCTTAGCTCACCAAACTTTCCAGCAAACAGTGGTGTTTTCTGTGTGTGTGATCAGCACAGTTTCTCTGCCATTCTTTGTGCTTTAATGAGTCTGCAATTGTGCTTAAATGTTTGCTCAGAAGAGGGATGAACTGTCCATCCTGTAACGTCCCACAATATTTAAAGGCTAGAGACAAAACCCAGACAAAGAGATCTAAACTTTCTGCAGATGCCTCAACCATCCTCCTATGACTCACATTTCATGACTGAAATTTCTGGAGACAACTGTTTCTGGAGTTGAGTGTTTCTTGAAATGGTTGATACATCAACAGTTCGTGATGCTAAATATTGCTGTAATACCTTCAGTGTTATAAATACATTGAGCAATCAAAACACTGAGAAAGTTAAACACTATGTTCCACATGGTGGAACGTGTGCTCTGAAGGGACTTTGGCTGTAGCAAGGGTATAAATGGGGTATTGTCTACTTTCTTCAGAAAAAAAGCATATAGGCTGATAAAGAACTGAAAAAGGCACAGCACTATCACTTCACAGGGTTGTTTTTTTGTCTTTTTTTTTTTTTTTAAGCTCATTGTTTTTATCTTTTAAGTTCTAAAACCCTAAATAATTGTCCAAATATACAAAGCTCAATAAACCACCAGCAACACGTAACTGCAAATTCAAAACACAGTTTGTTTGCTTGTTTTTAAAACGCAACAGAAGGACAGATGGATCCTTTCCAGTGATTGGAACTCCTCCAAGGCAGAGCCCTCCACAAAGGCCTCCCTGCAAGAAGGGTGGATTTCAAAAGCCACACAGGTGGATTTTCTTTCAAAATGCCATTGGCTGCAGCTTGAGTTTTCTCCTGGTGCTTCTTACCTTCTATCTCTGTCAGCTAATCCCTTCTTTAGCATTCCCATCCCCACCCAGAGGTCTCCATGAACCACCGTGGTGCCCTGTGCCAGTTCCAGGTATCTTTAGACAAAGTCAAGGTGTCACTTCACAGAGATCCAGAAGCTTCCCTTAGTGGACAATTCAGAGTTCCTTGGCAGGCTTGGGAAATGCTGTGTACTTGCTAGCAGGAGGACGTGGAAGCTGCCTGAGATGCCTGGTGATCTTGGAGACTCACCCTGGAGTAGTTCCAGATTTTTAGCTTAACCAGCAGTTGGATGCCAAAGTGCAACTTTCTTTGAACTCCACCTCACGCTACTGTTTCAAGAGTATTACAGTTGCCATCAGCACAGACCCAAATCTACCCTGAATTTCAAGGAAAACTATTGCTTTTATTGCCAAGAAGTACAATACAACGTGCACTCGTTTCTCCAAGTGAATGTTAGATGAATGCTGACCAAATCCCCAACTTCATTTAGAAGGGGCTATTTCCTTTCTCTAAAATTCACTTTTTTTTTTGGCCTCTTTATATGCAAGCTAGTTCTTTGTGGGATGAAACTGCACTATCTGTTCTCTAGCCCCTGCCACCAGCAAGAGGACCTAGTGGCCAAATGCTTCTCACCACCTCCTGCCTTTTATCCAGTCAGGTGGGTTTTTAGTTCCCCCTGTTAATTCAAGGGTTGAAATATTACCATGAACTTTGGGGTAGGAACAAAAACCAAAAATTCACATGCTTCTCCCATTTGTCCCACCTTCCATTCTCAGGTTAGACACCTCGTGGTGTTAATTCACCAAGACATAGCCACTGTGCTGGGGATCTACAGTCTCCATCATTTCACAATCAAAGAGTCCAGGCAATTCTGAGAGGGTTAATGCATCATAGTTGGACTGGGACTGGTGGGGGGCCGAGCTGCTCTGGCTGTCAGGCAATGCTACACTGCTCTGTTGTGCTGGGTCCATGGAATACTGGCACTGGTCTGGGTAGTCTGGCTCAGGAGAGGTGAGGACGGGCAGTTCACAAGTCTGATAGGAATACTGTAAGGGCTGTGGTGGCTGCTGCACCTGGCCTGGTGCTGACAAGCGTGAGGAGCTGGTGATCTGGGAGGGTGGCAGAGAATCCAGCTGCACCTTCTGGTACTGGCTGAGGAAGGGGTCGTATTGCATTTGTTCTGAGGAAGGCTCCAGCACGGGGCTCAGAGGCTGCTGCAGGCTGAAGGGGCTCGACTGCTGCTGTTGCTGCTGTTGCTCCTCCTGGCATGAAAGGGGCAGTTGGCTTGACCTGGGGTAGGAGCTCTCGGCTATCTGCATCTGGTTGAAATAGGCCTGCAGCTGGGACTGCTTCTGGAGGAAGAGTCTCTTCTGATGCAGCCTGAATCAAGGACACAAACAGCAATTACTTTTGCCTTTGGAAGGGTTAAGGCAGTAGGCACGAGTCCTGCCTGCTAGTCACTCACACAGCTCCAGCAGGGAATTAAGTACAGAACTTGAAAATTAATGGGCAATCTTCTTATTTACAGCCAACCAGAATCTTCATCTTTCAGCAAATGCAGAGGCTGAGCAGACCCCCTTTTGGTAACCTTCTTAATCACCTAGGGAGTTTTGTCTGTGCAATTAAGTTAACCCCATGCACTGTTTAATTTTGTCTGCAATAAAATGCATTTGTATTTTAAGCCTGCTCTTTACTGCTCTGTGGAACCTGGGAGTTGAAGAATTGAGTATTGTTGGGTACTAATGGGAAAGAACAAATCTCCCTCTCATGTTCTTCTCCTCTGAACTGCCCTGCTCCCTATGAAATGGTTTGAAACTCCTTTGTGCTTCTTTTGCAAAACTCAGGGATGATAGTAAATAGTCTTCAGTATTTATCCTGCTTACTTGTCTGCTGATTACCAAATGATGAGCTCAGAAAGAGCTTAGAGCCCCTCAACTTGGCAAATAAAATCTTGTCTGCTATTCTACATACAGTCAGAAGAGGACACCTCAAATCTATTAACTCTTTACTGCAACTTTTTCACAGGGGTCTCATTTCTAAACTGATCTTATATGACAAGAAAAAGTTGATTGACTGTGAAATGATCAGGTCATGGGAATGAGACAGGAAATACCTCAATGACTAAAGGGTTTCCCAGCAGGCAAAACCACACAATCCATGTTCTGACTTAGGGTAAGTAGTGCAACATGGAGGTTATGAACACTGAGTTGGGAGGATGATTGGTGAAATTAAGTAGAACAACATAAGTAGCAGGGTAGGTTCCTCCTGTGCTCCCACATGCCCATTAGCACTAAGTGAAGGTATTTTCAGTTCACCTGCACCCTTGTAGTGTCAACTGATAAAGAGTTTGTAGCACAGAAATGTTTAAATGCATGGCAGAACTGTTGTTCCTATTTTAGAAGAAGGGCTTTCAAGTGAAATTTTCCTTTTTCAAAGTTTCTAAATGGACTAAGACAGTTCTGGTTCTTTTATTACTCTTGACAGTAAGAGCACAGAACTTACCTACACAGTTTGAAAGCTGCTTACCTGTGCTCCTGTAACTGCTGTTCCAGACTCCGGGGCAGTTCTTTGCAGTACAGCTGGCAAGTATTCTGAGCTTTTGACAGCAGAGTGGGTTTCTGCAAGCAAAACAATGCTGTTATAAAGCAAGTGAAAGAGGATTGTGTACCCTTATGACAGTGTTAACTGCCTAGCTCCATTTTCAGGAAGCTGTCAGCAGAGCTACCATCTAAAACCACAGCCACCAGTGCTGATTGGCTTCTAACTCTTAGACAAAAACCAGCTTTGCATGAGAGATGGTACCAGAAAAATCTAGAGAAAGAATTCTTCCTGAGTAAAAGAGAAGCTGCAAGCTGGGGAAAAAAAAAAAACACTCTTAAAAACTAAAGTTCTATGAAAATAGTTTGGATTTTTTTAAAGGGAGGAGGAACAGTCAGCCCCAGGGGGTCACAACAGCTCTGCAGCTGCTGCTGTGTCACCTTTAGGGGATGCAAAACACATCACAGGTATTCACTAGCAGTTACTGCAGCTGGCTTTAACGACACTAGACAGTAACAGACTGGGCAGCAAACCAGCAGGAAGACAGTACCAACCAGCAGGAAGACAGTATACTTTGTACACAGTTAGGTGCAAAACACATCACAGGTATTCACTAGGAGTTACTGCAGCTGGCTTTAACAACACTAGACAGTAACAGACTGGGTAGCAAACCAGCAGTAAGACAGTATACTTTTTACACAGAGTGTCTGATAAAAATATAGCATCATTT